GCAGATGGCGCCGCGCCGGAAAAGGCCCCTCCGTTTCTTCTCCAATTGACTTCGCGACACGGTATGGTGCTGCCATTTTTGCTTGTCCCTCTTGGTCTATTTATGCCCCCCCCCCCCGGTTCAAAAGCCCAACCCGCAATCCGTTGACTGTATTTCTCCTGAAGCCAAACGAATCGCCGAGACGTTCCGCGAGCGAGCTCGGCCGCAGCCGTGCGGCGTGGCCAAAGCGGCAAGAATCGATTTATCTCGGAAGCCGGCGTGGGCGAGAGCGAGCGCGCGGCCAGGTGGTGGTGGGGGGGGGCAGCCGATTTCTCCCGGGAGCCAAGATGCCACTTGCCTTCACGGAGGTGAGGAAGGAGCGCCCGATGGCGCCTCGAAGATCGGCGGCGATTTCCTTTTCGCCGGCTCGCGATCGTCTTGTATTGACTTTTTTTTTCTGTTGGTGTCGGGGGCCGCGATGGCTCTCGCTCATCATGGCGTGCGTGTGGCGGTGACGGGTGGATGGCGGGAGATTTGGGCTTGGGCGCCGATTCGCGAGAAGAGAAAAAAAATCCCAACAAATGTCGTGTTTGCTTTTGTTTTTTTCTTCCTGAAGAGGTTGCAGTCCGCGGGAAGATTGTTCGTTGGATCGAATGTGAAGACGGCGACCCGCGGTGCCAAAGCTAGCCTCGCATAATTAAAAAGCACTTTGCCGCGCTGAGCGTTTCCTCAAGTGCTGTCACACTAATCAGATGGCGCGCGGCTCTCTCGTTTGGTTTCCTCGGGCCCGGGAATCCAATTTCATTCCGGATGAAATGCATTATTTATATTGCCTCCCTTTTTTTTTTTTTTTTTTTGCCAACGTCGATGCAGGCAACCGGCGCGTTCCAAAGCCCCGCCTTCATTTATTGCCTTCTCACATGTCAACTTTTGTACGAATGCACAAAGCGGGACGCAAATGAAGGCAAGTACCGACGGGGCAAACCAGTCGAGAGTTGCGATCGAAGCCAATGCGGATTTTGTCAGCGTTTGCTGTGCCCCGCACAAACGAGCGAGAAGACTGACGTCACGCGCGGCGCAATCACTCGTAGCTCGGCAATGGCTTTGCGCTTGAGCGGAAACTTTGCGAACGTGGCGGCGCATCCCCCCAACTGAATGAAAACATGCGTACGGTTTTTATTCCAGTTTTTCCTTCCGTCTCACATGCGCGGTGAGATGAAGCTCGCAGAGCGCGCCTCCAAGTGCTTTGCAGTGTTTCGCCGGAAATGCCAAGTTTGAGCGGCCCTTTTCCCGGGTAGCGCGCTAGCTCGCTTGCGCGACATAAGCTCGCCGAGCAGACGGAACCGACGCGACAGAACTCCCGTTGGCTTCCAATTTGCGCCCAACGTAGCTCATGCAGCCTGCCTGACTCACCTTCCCTAACGAACAACTTAGCCAGCAAACGGGGCCCGAGTTTGCCCCCCGGGTGATCAAAAGACATTTCCCCCCCCCCCAGTGGCCACGTGCAAAGTCCATTAGTGGGGGGCCCTCTTTCCGTGGCTCTGCCTTCCTGTCCTCTTTGAGCTCAGCGCAAAGCAAGCAAGCCTTCACTCCCACTCGTCTCCTCCGGCCGCCGCCCAATAGTCAGCGCGTTAGCTCGCGTTGCTTTCACCCCCAAACAGAAGGGGGGGGGGGCGGAAAGCTTCTCGTGGACATCGTTTGCCGCGGCTGGAATACCGAAAGGACAAAAAAACGGCAACAGTGGTAAGTTTTTGTTTTCACGTTGATTGAGCCGACTGTCAACTGCGACGCGTCCACTGAACCCCCCGACCCCGAGAGATTGGATTTTTTTTTTTTTTTTTTTTTTTTTTTCGGTTTTTACAGTAGGGACACAGGTAGGA